TTTTTTTGGGGGCGCCGCGGCGAGTAGCGGGGGCGGGAAGTTATACAGGATTTTGTGTTTATGCCAGAGTCGTTTGACCAACGAGTCAGTGAATCCAAGTGTAGCTCAATCTGGGAAAGGCAAGGGATTTTGCAGAGGTGGGGAATTTGTTCGCGGTTTTTATATCGTCCGCGAAGAGGAAAGCCTTGATATGGGGTATGGCGTCGAAGACGTCACTGATTCACCGATTGACGGATTATACACTGGATCGAGGCTCTTGCCAAAGATTTCCGGGTCGCTTTTCTTCCTCTCGGTCAGTGGCTGCCGTCCACCTGAAAGGCACAAGCGAAAAAAGGTGTTAAACTGCTCTTTATGTTCTCAGCGCGAGGCAGTATGCTGGCCAGCGCGAGGATTCGCATAAATAAATGTCTAATAGTGCCTTAAACTGGGTTCTAGAAAGAGCGTGGACAACCGTCGGAGGAAGGTCATTTCAGGCAGCCACTAACCGAAATGAGAAAAAATTTTGTTTAATGAATGTGTGTGCTCTGAGCTTGAAAATTTTCTTACTATGTCCCCGTCGTGCGTTTGCTGGGTCAACGGTGAAAAACCCGTTTGCCAAGCTTTGTTTGAACAGGGCATAATTAAGAATTAGGTTTCCTCGGAGGCCACGGTACTCCAGGGGAAAGAGATCAAGCATCGCGTGACGAGTTTCGTAATCCACGGATTTGAGGCCGGCAACCATTCTCGTGGCGGCCCGCTGGACACGCTCAATGAGAGCGGCGTCTTTCGTGCGTCCTGAGTAGACAACTTGGTTGGCGTACTCCAGGAGCGATCTGACTTAGGCCCCACAGAGTATTTGGAAGTCCATTCGAGTAATACGGGAGAAGGTGCGTCGGGTCATCCGCAGAATGGCTAATGCCTTTAGGGCCGATTTCTCATGGTGCAGTGAGAAGGAAGAGTTTGAGGAGACCCAGATGCCCAAATCCTTTTTGGCATCTATACCCATTATGTTTTCTGGTCCCTTTTCACCATGCATAACAAAGACATTCGCTGAATCCCGTGCAAACGACATATGGACGCACTTTTCACCATTCAGAGGGAGGTGCCAGTCCAACGACCACTGTTTGACAGAATCTGCATCCATTTGGAGGGCACTGGCATTGTAACTCCAGGATTTCAGGTCGTCCGCAAAAAGTAAACATGGACTCGCAAGAACGTCTGGGAGGTCGTTGACTTAGATCAGAAACAGAAGTGGTCTCAAGACGGAGTCTTGTGGAACTCCAATGGAGACCGGTGCTGGAGAAGAGTACGTCGAACCTATCCTTACTCATATTGATGTGTCTAATAGGAACGCCTTGATCCAGCGAAGGATTTTTCCTTGGATCCTGTAGGACTCGAGTTTATAGGGCAGTGGGACGTGTGAAACCCTATCAAATGCTTTTGAGAAGTCGAAAAATAGGGCGTCCGATATGAGTCCTTCGTCCTTGGCTTGGGTTAAGCTGTCCATAAACACGAGCATGTTTATCAAGCAAGAGCGGTTTGGGAGAAATCCGTGTTGAGCTGGAGATATCAGATTGCTTGAAGTAAAGTGATCTAGGATAGCTCGCTTCAGAATGCGTTCTATTACCTTGCACGGCACGCTAGTGAGGCTTATAGGCCCATAGCTGCCGGGCGATATTCGGTCGCCAGTTTTGTAGATGGGCGTGACAATCGCTTCCTTCCAAGCAGAGGGAAGGTGGCCTTCGTCAAGCGACCGACGAAACAACAGGTGTGGATGATTGGACAGTGTGGAGGACGTTTCCTTCAGGAACCTTGGATAGACCTCGTCAGGCTCCAACGCGCAGAATGGGTTGATCTTGTGCCAGAGTTGATGAATGTCTTCCACCGTGAAGACCAAGTCGGTTGGAGGCTGTTCGTAGTTTCGCCTTGACAAGAGTGGATGTGACGAGGACGCTGGGGCTGAGTGTAGACACGCATAGTGTTCTATGTAAAACTCAGATACCACTGTCGGGTCATTTGTCGGTTCGCCGTTTCTGTCCCTCAAGGAGAACGCGGATGGCCTGTTTCTCCGGCGATGTCTCATGTACTTGAACAGTACGATTTTGTTTTTTTCATGAAATTAACAGTACCAAAGGGGTTAGTCACCGCTGTGGGACAACACTGTGAACGAGTTTTTGGAGAACTCCTCATATATCCTCACATGTCCGGAATCTGGCGCGTTCCTTACTATACAGGTCTGTTTTTTGGGACATGGCATTTCAAATGATCTAAACACAACTCATAAATCCCGGACTGTGGACTGTGTACGGGTATTATGTTGTTCTCGCATCTAACAGTGTGTAGGTTGGCACACCGCACCTGCTGCCTGACCAAATCCCGCTTGATGCTCTTGATGGGTCAGGAGGCAGGGCTTCAACACATGTGGTGCTGGGCCGAAGGGGTCTACGACAAGCTGTACATGTGCTCAGACGTTGATGTTTTCCTATCAGTGCGAGCAAACATACATTGTGGTATCAATTGAACCAACAAGCGAATCTCCACAAGTGTTTAGCGGGGGACTTGAGCTGGGTAGACAATTCCACCAATTCTATAGAATAGAGCTGAATATACCCCATCCATTACTGGTGCCTATGCGAATCTGGAGTACTTTTCCAAAATGATGCCACTAAACAAGGAAGAACTGTAACTGTGACTCCCTTCACTGGAGAAAGAACTTGTGCCGGTGCCCGCAGTCGTTTTGCGACGACCGGTGAAAGCACCCCGGCGAATAGCTGAGATCAGGGATGAACTGAATAGTAGAATTTAACTGCACTAACACAATGGAACCGTTCACATCATTATCCAATCAGAGCACGCCACTTAGAGTGCCACGCTGGTCGTGCGGAGCCTGTTGCTTTAGTGCACCGCGGCCGGTTTTTTCGCTGAATTTATACGTAAGTACTGAGAATTCACAACCTTACTGAGCTTCAGCTTATGGTCGTTCATTCCGTTTCCATCCACAGAAATTAGTGACCCCTATCTTCAGAGGATCATTACCCCTTGGTAATTCCATGACGGTCACTATACTGCAGTCTAATGGGCTTTTTCCTACCCTGCTTCCTAAGGCGTTGATTTAATAGAAGACCTGCTGGGGTGATTGAGGCTTGTTGGGATCCGATATATTGAGGTCACGTGGGATTATCTTTATTCGTTACTCGTTAACATGATTGTCAATTTCGGGAACTTTTCATGGCTTTGTACACAAGATCAAGGCTTTCACACAAGTCGCTCAGCTGTTATACCACTCACCTGAAATGCACAAGCAAAAAGTGTGTAGCACTGCTATTTGAGGGCAGTATGTTTGTCAGCACGAGGATTCGCATAAGAAAGCGTCTAATGGTGCTTTGAATTCGGGACAAGATGTAGCGCGGACAACCGTTGGATGAAGGTTGTCCCACGCACCAACTACCCGAAGTGAGAAACTTTTCCTGATAAAACTGCGCTCTGAGCTTGAAAATCTTAGATGGATCGATGGTGAATAACCTGTTGGCCAACCTCTGTTCAAACAGGACACAGGTAAGCATCAGGTCACCTCGGAAGCGATGATACTCCAGGTGAAAGAGATCACACAGCGTAAGACGCACTTCATAGTCCACGGGATCGATGCCAGCAACTTTTTTCTTGGCAGCTCGCTGGACACGCTCAATGAGGGTGACGTCCTTTTTGCGTCCTGATTAAACAATCTGGTTGGCTTATTCAAGAAGCGTTCTGACGTAGTTCATATAAAGCATTCGGAAGTCCGTGCGAAGAAGGTTCGCCGAATTATCCGTCGAACGATGAATGTGTTTGAGAGGATTTCTCATGGAGCAGTGAGGACATTTTTGAAGAGAGCCAGGTACCCAAGTCCGTTTTAGCATCCATCTTGGCGATAACATCTCCGTAGGTTTCTTGTACTTAAGTGGCACTTTTGTTTTTCCAGGTGAGGATTAGTATCGTGACTTGTTTTCGTATGTTCCGCTGGCGGGTTTCTTATTTACAGCAGTTCCACATTTCGCGAAGTGAAGTGCGGAAGTGTAAAAAAAATTTGAGGCGCCTTTTCCAGAAGACGCCGAATCCTTTCAGGTTGTTTTATGTGGACTCCCAGGTCGTCCGCGATTACTGGCCAATTCGGTGTATGTAGGAATTTTCAGTACGCTGCTGTCTGTTTCGCGGCTTTGGCTATCAGATCATGCGGGACGACTGTGTCCACGATCAGAGAGCCTACTTTCGATGGAGTGAACACGCTACTTACGATCCAGGGAGAGGTACTGGAATTTGTGGAGCGTTTTACTTGTCTTGAAGGTGTATTAGTTCTGATTGTAGTGTGACAGATGAAATGAATGCATGAATCTGCAACGTTTGGGTTTTGTTTTCTAATTTGAGACGCCTATGTCGTCTAAGTGGTTTACCCCTGAATCTCAAGGGATGTGTGTATCAAGCTACCGTACGGGCTGTTTTTTTTGTATGGCTGTGAGAATTGGCATGTTCGAGCAGCGGAATTGAGACGTCTTCAGGTGTTTGACAATCGTTTTCTCAGGACCGTCGCTCGTGTGGATTGGTGCCGGCAAATCCGTAACGAGGCAGTTAGAAAGCTCGTTTACGTATGCCGAACCATCGTTTGCCAAAGAGTGCTGTTTTCCACGCCCAATTCAGAGTAGCGTAAGCAGAGGGGTGGCCGACCTTTGACTGGGCAGAGGAATATAAAGGAGATCACGAAACGCATGAGTGCTGTCGGTTCAACCCGCCTTCCAGGATGGGGACCGCGTGATCCTTGCTCTGCCTGGTTGGAGACACTACAAGATGTGGCTTCCAACCGATGTCAGTGGCGTTCTTGTCAGTTTCTATCCAGATTGTCTGAGTGAGCGTCTGGAGGTTTATGCACCTCGGAATGATTGTGGTAAGCTAGCACTAAGCCCCCTTCCCCGTCCACTACTCTTTTGAGAGTGCACAACATTTGAGGGTATACAACTATCATCGGGTTTGCCGTAAGTTTGGGGCCAAATAAACTCTAGTCAAGCGGACGTTTGTTATGTGCCTCGCCTCTAGGACTGTTGTGCCGCAGTTTTCGCGCCTCTGTAAGGCGGTCCTCGAATATGGGCTTTATATTGGATGGGCCTTTTGAATGCGCGCCATGATCCTCCGTATGGCATTCAGCGAGGAAAGAGAGACTAGAAGCCTAAAAGTTCGCTTACTTCTCTTTCTGCGTAACCGCTCTGCGTGAACGGACCCGTTTTCAGGCTTTGTGACGCACCCACCAAGGAGCGACTGTGCCAATTTTGTTGGTGTGGTTGTTCTGGAGAACTTGCTCTCATGCTCCCGTCTACTAGAGACGCCTTGGCGGTCTTGACTGCCGCATCAGTGAGCTGGATAACCTTCTTGGCAGCCAATGGACCCGGAATGGATAGCGCCAAGTTCTCTTTCAGAGAGGAACGTTCGTTATCGACTTCAACCCAGGTCGCTTAGTTTTTTGTATTTGTATCTTCCAGAAGTGTCAGTTTTTTTCGGCATCCCGACTAAAACCAAACATTTGCAATGGTCTTTTGCATTCAGGAGTGAATACTTGGTTTCTTTTTTTGCAGCTGTCTAGTTTAAAGTGGAATGCATCATGCCCCTAAGATAGGGGCAGACGCGGAAAACGGGTCAGGAGAATTAGATAATTGGTTTATCTGGTCGTCCTGTAGGCTCGCACACTTAAAGTGGCACCAGGCTTGGGAGGCGCGTGATTGCACTTCACGTCTAACATTTGATGGACGTTCATTCAGTCCACATCTATTACGGTTGACGGACAGCTGTAGAGGAGAGTGGGGTTGTAATGATCTGGCTCACTGAGCTATACTGGGGGTGTCCGCGCGACACTCGCAGTCTTATATCTGGTTGGTTGATGGTTAAATATCTGAGGAACACAGTTTCCTGGTCTTCCAGGTTAGGGTTGTAACACGCGTGCGACTTGTTTTATAAAAAAGGTAATGTATTTATGTGGAGCGAGATGGCTCATTGTTTCGAGCGCGAATTTACTGACCGGAAGATCCGTGGTTCGAACCCGACCTCCGCCCCCTCTGCCTAGGCTTGGGCAACCTGGCAGTGTCCAAGCCCTCGTGTTTCCTTCTGGTGGCATGGCAGCTAGGCACCGAAAGGGTGCCACAGCTGAACGATGACACAGAACCGCAGATGGTGGACGTAGAAATCCTTAGATCCTCGAAGTATTTTGACCATATATGTTTTCTCGGGCGCCACCAAGCTCCTTGTCCGGATGATCTCTTTCCCACATTGTTTCAAGATGGGAGTGAAGTCCTCAGGCAGTACTTGTCCGGTCTGTTTGCCTGTGTTTGGGTAAAGGAGGCTGTCCCAGATAACGGGAGGGTCAGCAATAGTGCCCATTTTCAGACAAAAAGGGGCTCGTAATGAGTGTGGTAACCATAGGGAGATAAGCTTGATCCCGGGGGTAACGAGACTGTCGGGATCATTTGTGTTTCATCGCCTTATGGTGGCTTGTTAAACACTTACTCGACAGCAGCAAGCAGGATTCCGGGACATGCAGTTAGTAAACACTAAGCTGTGGGACGTTTTACCTATCTTGGCCGTTGTAATAGGTCTGATTTTAGTGTGACAGATTAGGTCAGTGCATGAATGTGCAAGGCTTGGGTCGCAGTTGCTAACTCCGGACATCTATTACGTCAACGCGCTGTATTCCTGAATCCCGAGGGACACGTATATCAGGCTTCAATGCCTGTTGTTTTATTGCCGACTGTGAGACTTAACCTGTCTCATAACGGTAGCTCGTATGTATTGTTGTAGGCGAATCCCTAACGAGGCAATTAGAAAGTGACTGTTTCCTTGTGCAACGGGGACTTCCATTGAAGAGTGTGTCCAGCATCGTAAGCTGTGTTGGTTAGGATATGTACTACGTTAGAAGAATATGGTTTCCCGGAGAATGCTGTTTTCCGTGCCCAGTTCAGAGTGGGGCAGCAGAGAAATGGCCAACCTTTGACCTGGTAGAGGTGTATGAAAGAGGTCACAAAATGTTGGGATGCTATTGGCGCTACTCGCCTTCCAGGATGGAGATTGTGTGATACCCACTGCGCATGGTTGGGGACACTGCAAGATATTGTTACTAACTGGTGTCAGTGATGTTCTTGTTAGTTTCTATCCAGATTGCCTGAATGAGTGCCTGGAGGTGTAGGCACCTTAAAATAATTATTGTAGGCTAGTACCAGTGCAATTTCACTCTTTTTCTTCACTTGAAGGCTTTGAATTACTCACGAGGACCCCATGCTAGAGATGTACACTCGGGTGCTTTCTATGCTGATGCTTGTAATTTTCACAGTTCACCTTTATGTTGAATACCGACAGTCCGGAATGGAAGAAGCAAGTGGCCGACTGAGCTTTTGTTCGAAGTACTGTGCCCAGCAATCCAAACGTTCTATGCTGGATATCAGAAAACCATTCTGGCCCCTGATAATTCCTCTGACAAGAGGCTTCCGAGAACCATTTTAATGAATTAAGTGGTGCAACCTGCGAACCTTCCAGGCATTGGTTGCCTTTCTCATTTCCTCGGCTTTCTGAACCCACCAGGCTTTCAGGTTCTCACGGATATTCAGTTTTATCTGGAGCCGGTTGGTTCTTTGGGTTGAGTTGTGGTTGCGGTCAGGGGGAATCTGTCGCCGGGCTTCCAGCAAAGCCCCGTTAATGTCTGACGTAGGACGATCCACAAGATGTTCTAGGAGCCAGTTCTGAAGCTCCCGTTTGGTTTCTGGGTCCATCAGCTTCTCAACGGCTAAGTGAGGTGTGTTCGTTTCGCATAGACATGAAAAGCGCAATGAAAAGCATCGGCGCATAGGTGTATGGTCGGGGTCCATGCTGGTGTTCCAGAAGGAGAGGCTTGTATTGTTCAACCGTCGCCACCGATAACTAGCGGCGATCTGGTCTATTTGGTTTGGGACTTGTTGGTTGATGGCCATCACGTCGGAAACCACCGGGGCATCAGTATAGTGAACGTAGCTTCCGTGATGCTCTCTTGTAATATCCTAATCAGGTTGGTGCAGCAGAGTGAAAATCAAGCAGGATTTCGCCTTGGCCAGTTTTGTATCGATCATATCTTCACTTCGGGACAAGCATTGGAACTGCGCCGCTCCTTCCGGTGACCAATAATGATATATTTCTCGATCTCGGATCTGCTCCTGGCGCAGTCAGTCGTCAGAAACTGTGGCAGTGTCTGGCAATGAAGAGTGACCCTTCTGAATCCTTGTCGCTTATAAAGGCTCTGTATGCGTCTTTCCGTGGACACGGGCGTGCATACGTCAGATTGCCTCGAGTTCAATACACCCAGTCGTGTCAAGCAAGGGTATCCTCTCTCGTCCTTCCTGTTTAAGCTCGTAATGGATGCTGCGCTTAATGAAAACTAAACAGTGTCATCAGTAATGTTGGTGTCTTTGGTGATGAAAATGGTGCCTCTTCCACCTCGGGGATCAAAGAACTGGGACGTTCGCTCACGTACATTAAGTTCGCCGATGTTATTGCTCTTCGATCAGACTGTTTAGAAATTCAGACTATTTCAACTAACCTGAACAGTCCTGCTGCAGATTTCGGTATGCGCTTCACACTTGTGAAGTGTTACTGCAAGTTTGGGTGGGATCAAACCTTATGCTTTCAGGTGGACCGATTGATTCAGTAGTAGGTTAGGTTGGTCTATCTGGCCAGTTCCATAAATCCCGGCGAACTGGCGAAGAAAATCGGTTCTTGAATTAGGAAGACCAGAGCAGCTTTTGCCAATCTTTCATATTTGCGGCCTCCATGTGACGTCAGGGTGTAGGGTGTACAATGCCGCTATCCGAACCGTCATACTTTATGAATCAGTGACATGGCCGCTGAATGCGGAGGAACTTCGAAGACCTGGTTTCACCATTGGCGCGTCTGAGACGTTATGCGGGTCTGGTGGTAACAGCAGATCGGTACTGCTGAGGTACGCTAGATGGTTCTTGGGAAAGTTCACTCTAACGCGGTAGATCAGTTGATCTCGCTTCACAGGTCACAGTAGATAGGCAATGTATTTTCTATACCAGGAGACTGTTTGCCTCGTACAGCCGTCTTCATCCAGCCTTGTATCGGATGTAGACGACCCAGGGATCGTGATTTGATGACTGCAACGAAACATGAAAGCACTCATCAGTCAACTGAGTCTCATTGGCAATTGCTGTCTCCTTGGATAGAGACTTGTGGAAAAGACAAACTACTGGCTAATGACTGTAATAGCGGTATTTTCCTCAGATTAGTCCTCAGTCTGAACCTCAAGCTAAGGTTTTGGTCAAAAGCAACCACCAAAGTGCACAACGTATATTTACGCCAAGAACCAGCACGTCGTATATAAAGTGTATGCTGCGACAAGGTTATGGAAATTCTGATGCCTGGATGTGCCATTGGCAACCGGCTTTGGTTAGTATTGGGTCATGATTAGCTGTTGGGTCCAGACTTTCGACCAACCGGAGCTCGGCTTGATGCCAAACCGGCAAGCGGCCCCAAATTTTGGCTAATCTCGGTCGCAGCACCGCCCAGCTGACAGCAGTATCGACGCAGTCAAAGAAAGGTTTCATAATGCCGAGTGCGTTGCTGCGGCGAACTAAAAGCCCGGATATCATGGTTGTTCCCGGAGATCTGAATGCACAAGTGGGCAGGCTTAGCGTATCTGAGACTAAATTAGGAGGTCGACATGGATCGGATTCGGTACGGTCTTGGTCGTTTAGTTCTGAGGGCTCTGCTGATTCAACTCGCAATCGCCCCATCTCTGAATACCCCACCAACATGGATTTCTGCAATTAGTCGCCCTGGCAAAGCATCCGTATCACCTGCTATAAAACCGGCATCTACTTGCTAAGGGCAACCCTCGATAAAAGCTGTCATCCTCAGTGTAAGTTAACTTCATATGCAGAGCGCTGATTCAGTGCATGAAAAAAACTACTGCTGCTTTACACGTTTAAAAGACCTTTGGTCCAAGCCACAAAAAATATTTTCTGCGAGGATCTTCCCGCCGTCTATTAACCGTGTATTATAGAGGATTGAGATCTCGCCAAAGTCAGGTTTTCGGCTGTTCATTCTCTGCTAATATCTGTCCGTACAATGTATCAGAATTTCCTCCTCGAACCTTTATTTGTTATCCGTTTGTTAACGCCCACCTTTTTTCTGTTTCAGCGCGGTATACTGCTTCATCGGTAAGCAGATAAGCCTCTGGGCAAACATAATGCGACCTCACCTGTTCACGTATTTCCTGCTCTTTGGGCTTAGTCTTGCCCATGAACCTCGAGAATTTACTGCGGACCAGTTCGATACCCAAGTGAAGCAGAAAGAGTACACTTTGGTTATGTTCTATGCTCCATGGTATGACTTGCTGTTCATTATTGTCCATTGATTCTTCGTCTTATAGGTGTGGCCACTGTAAACGACTCAAACCAGATTACGAAGCAGCTGCTAAAGTTTTACACGCCTCCAAGGAGAATGTGCAACTCGCTCGCGTGGATTGCACCACACAAGAGAGTCTGTGCACCAAATTCGGAGTGGGTGGCTATCCTACACTCAAGTTTTTCAAGAACGGTGATCTTGTTAGTGACTATTCAGGCTCCAGAGATAAAGGTCTGTCATCCTTAATGTGTTTCTCACCTTATTAGATGGCCTTATTCGGTTCATGAACCAGCGATCACAACCAGCTTCAAAGAGCATATTATCTCCCGACAAACTGAAGGAATTGTTGGACAGCGAAGCAGCACTCAACCAACCTGTTGTAATAACTTATGCGAAGTCGGAGACAGACGCTTGGCTCAAAACATTTACTGATCTAGCGGGTGAAATGTTGGATGACGTCATTTTTGGGCATGTGTTCGACCCTTCCCTTGCAGACTTGAGCGACTCCAAGTATGTTCTCCATTTGCCTATTTTCATGCTCACTTCAGCCGTGTACGTTTACTTAGACCAAAGAACTTACATACGAAAATGGAGGAATCAGCTGTTTCTTACGATGGGGATCTTTCTGCTTCTGAACTAAAGAACTGGATCATGAAGCATGGGTACTGTCTATGCCGTAATAGCTAATATTTTCCAGCTTTGGTTTCGTAGGTTACCGCTCACGAGAAAATACAAAGTTCTTTCCTCAAGATAACTTGCTTGTTTTGTATAACAACATTTCTATTGCGCAACATCCAAAAGGAGTGAACTATTACAGAAACCGCCTGATCAAACTTGCCAAGACGCTGGAAGACACACCACCGAAGCTCACCTATGCTTATTCTTACTCCGCAGACTTCTCCCATGAACTGGCTGATCTAGGACACGAATCAGCCGAAGAATTTCCTTTTGTTGCAATCTTCTCAGCCGGTAAGAAATACAAATTGGGCAAATACGAGCCGGGCGCTTTCGTCGAGTTTGTGACTAAATTCAAGTCAGGAGCCCTTACACCATACCTAAAGTCGGAACCCATCCCCACAAAACAAGACGGCCCGGCCATCAAAGCCGTCGCACTTAATTTCGATGAAGTGGTGAACAACCCTCAAAAGGATGTGTTCATTATGTTCCATGCTCCATGGTGCGGTCACTGCAAGCAGCTGATGCCGAAGTTCGAAAGCCTGGCGACGACTCTTAAAAACGAGCCCACCTTGAGCTTGGTGGTCTATGATGCCACTGCGAACGACGTTCCAAGTCCGTTCACAGTCACAGGTTTTCCGACTCTATACTTTGTTCCAAAGAACGCCAAGAATAATCCTAAGTCCTACGAGGTGAGTTTTTTTGTTTTTTTTTTCACCTACGACATTACAGGGCAATCGTGAGGAAGAAGACTTGCTGAAGTACCTCGCCAAAGAAAGCACCGATGGGCTTGTTGGTTATGACAGGCAAGGAATGCCGAAGAGAGAAGAGTTGTAGTGTGTCAAAGCGTCTGCTTTCATTCGTCCATGTGGACATTGGGTTATTGGTTTTTTTATTGAACTACTTTCAATTCCATTTTCGATAATGTTCATCAATTTGGATATTTAAGGTAATGCTTACAACTTACCAAATTTAGAAGTTGGTTATCTACTTCTGTTCTTCCGCACGCATTACTTGGATAGACCGACGTTAAAAATAACTTTGAAGAAAAAGACTGGCAGTTTCACATCCTGAAAGGAATCGCGATTTCGGTCCCGGTTGTGTATCGCCTATGAGATCAGGCATTGAGACCAAATTGCACAGCGCTATGTTCTAACGACGCAGTTGATCATAGTTGATAGGCAGACGCGGGTCGAGACATCCTAGAGGCCGCTTCATCCTTCCTACTAGAAAGTAGCAAATACTTCACGAATGACTGGACAGCTTGGCACATACTTGAAACCTAGTCATAATGGTCTGCAGACTACTGACCTCAGACCCTTAAACAATATGTTCTATCTCTTTGCGGGAATATCACCCACTTCTGAGAGGAACCAATCAGAAGTGGACCTCACAGGGTCACATCTGTGTTTTGCATTGATGCAAACGAAATATATCAGGACATAAGTGGGTCAAAACAGCACGCATTAAATACCATCGGTTTCCTTCCTTATCCGGCATCAGTTTAACCACTGTGTTAGTGCAGTTCAGCTCGGTTTATCATGTTGCTGACCCTAAGACTGGCTTATCCGAACGTACGGTCCACATTTTTTCATGTATGGATTTTTCTTTGGGTGGTTACCGTACGCGAATTGAAGATTATTCCTACTCGCTTCATAGGCTATTTGATTGTGGATTAATGATACCAAACGAGAAGTATAGGAATGAGACTTAGGCTTTGCTAAGTTCCGTCACATGGTAGAACACCGAAGATGACATCTAATCGGAATGGCACTTGTTTTGAATAATTTGTGCTCTGATATTGCGATTTCAGTTTGATTCAGCCTTTGTCGTCTCAGAAGCCTGTTTTGACCTCTAGCTTGAACCCGTTTTTAAATCAACTAGCAAGTGTAAAAAAACAGAAAGGTAATCGTTCAGCTGTAACACCCTTTCGGTGCCTAGCTGTCATGCCATCCGAAGGAAGCATGAAGGCTGGTATACTGTCAGGTTGCCCAAGCCTACACAGGGGAGGTCAGGTTCGAACCATGGACCTTCCAGGCAGTAAATTCGCGCCCTAACTAGCAAATATGTGACCGAATATATCGCCCACTGCGCGATGTTCCCGCATCCCCCTGGGAGGCAATGGGACCCCACCTCCTCATATCATCGGTGGACGAAATTGTGGCAGCTACATTCATTGTACGGCAAGTACACGGTTCTTACAGCTGATAACAGTGATGATTTTGAGATACTCATCCGGGCACGCTGGATAGAAACTGACGACAAGAACGCCACTGACATCGACCAGCAGCCATATCTTGTAGCGCATCCGACCAGGGTTTCACGAGGTCCCTATCCTGAAAGGCGAGTAAAACCGATAGCATTTCGTAATTTCTTTCATATCTCTGTTCCGCCATCCTAAATAGGTCACGGGAAACTGCACTCTTCGGCAAATGATGGTTCGGTCTACGCAATACATGATCTAAACAACGCAGCTTCTGGTGCTAGACACACTCGCTTTCTAATTACCTCGATACGGATTCGCCGACAAACCCGCATGAGCTGTAGTTATGAGACAACGGTTGTCCAACAACTGAAGACGTCTCAGCTGTGTTGCTCGAACAGGCCAAGTTTCACACACGTCCCTTGAGATTCAGGGATAAACCACTTTGACTCCATAGGTGTCTCAGATTAGCAAACATGACACAGGCCTTGTGTCTGTCGTGTGTTAGCTTCACCCGTCATACTGCAGTCGCAGCCAATACCACTTCCAAGCTACGTAAAACGCTCCACAACTTCCAGTTCCCTCACCTGGATTGTTAGCGGCGTGTTCAGTGATTGCATATCCAGGAGCATGACCTTACAATTTGTGGGTGCAAAATGCATGCCGAAGGACAAACGACTTTGGTCAGTTCATGCAGAAACCTGCGCCTTATCGAAGACAGACTAGTGCCGTCTGCATATTCCAGATAGGCAAGGTTTTCGTCAGCGGCTATTTGAACACCGGGGTTTGAAGATATTCCAACGTTCATCTCATTATCTCATCGACCACAAAGTTAAAGAGATGGAGGGATTGGGCACCCCTGACGGACATCGCTTTGTGTACGGAAGATATTATGTTTAATACATTGCTCCCTTGTCTATCCTCCCAATGAAAACCCAGTATTTACTCATCAATTTTATCAGCTCCCGCCTCCAGTACGCAGATTGCTCAGTGGTCGGAACGCGAATTTTCCGACCGGAAGGTTCGTGGTTGGAACCCACCTTTGCATCTCGGCTCCTTTCTAGGCTTGGACAACCTGGCATCATCCCAACCCTCGTGCTTCCTTCAGGTGGCATGGTAGTTAAGCACCAAAAGAGTGCTATAGCTGAACGATTATATTTTTCATCTTTTCAATGCGGAATTATCTTCCCCACTTCCCCAAATCATCGGTAAGCGAAACTGTTGCATCCAGAACTACTTTACGGCAAGTACGCCGTTCGTACAACTGCTGATGTTTATAAGCTACGCGTCGAGGCTTGAAGGTAGATTTCGAGTTGTCTGAGGATGTCAGCGCCGGATAATGCATAGATGTTGATTACAGTAGCCTGTTTTTGGATTGCCCGCCCTACTCTGTGCAGCAAGTAAGGCGATCCGGGTGATGGAACCAAGCGACGGCACATGTGACATTCGTTTATTCGTATGTATGGAAATCATGATTGTACGTGGAGTGGGATACTGACAGGGCACCCAGACCTAGACAGAAGGCCGATTAAGGTCCTCAGCCAAATCCTGACCACAAGGCAGCGGTATCTGGCGAGATATGTAAGTACGTTTCCATTTCTTGCAGAGCAAGCCGGCACATGTTCCAAACCCCAACCTGGAGGACCAGGAGACTGGTAGTCAGAGTTCTAACCATTGACCAACCTGGTATGAGAGACTGCTAGTATTATACGGAGGCCCTCCAGTATAGCTCAGTAGGTCGCGGAGGCACACAAACCGTCACACTACCGGAAGGTCCACGCTTTCTGTGACTCTTCCACTTGAAACTATTCTAGCTGTTTCAAGGTCCAAGCGAGTTTTGTTCCATAGTTACTCGAATACAGCCATTTCAGAGCTAGGTCGTACACTAGTTTGCGTTGCTGGAACTAGGCTGTTGTAGTGTGAAGCCAAGTTCAGAGCTTACAGTGAGCGACCAAACTGTATCGACTAGCACTTGGTCCATTTCGTTCCGGAAGGCGAATGGACTGTTCATTGAGACGTATAAAACAATTTTCATGCTGTACATTTGACTGGTAACTTATTTGCGAATGAAGATGGACTCCTGGTTCTTAATATTCTTTTACTGAATACGCTGCTCAGACCGCCTGCTGTTTCAGTTGGAATGATCTTACCTAGTTATCCAAGTTTTCTCTGCATAACACTACTTATAGGATTGCTAGTCCCCTACGGATTTCACCTTTTTGAGGTTCATCAGGGAGGCGTCTTCCCCGGGCTGTTCGCCTTATTTCCCGATTGGACACCAAAGCCTATTTCTCCACGTTCCGATATCACGGGTGAACCTCAGGAGTGACATAGGAAAAGCGGAAGAAAGCCAAAATGGTGTCTACTGTCACAAGGTGTCATTTGACTGGCTTGAGGTTGAAGTCAGCGCGTTCGGTTCGTCTGACCTTACTAGTTCTGGTCACAGCTGACCCAGGTATGCAGACCGTCAACGCATGCAAGTTATTTAGGGATTACAATAGACTTCTTGCTGCACTGTCTTGTGTATGCCGTGACGAGCAGAATGGACCTTAGTGCGATGTGGGGTTTGTGAACCTCCGTTGAACCACACTCGGTAGTGTGCATGTCTCATACCGGGCTGGTCAATGGGTGGAGGCGTGACGCACACAATCTCCTGGTCATCCAGGTTAGGGGCTGGAACATGTGTAACTACTTGCTCCTTAAAAATGTAAGCTGCTTTGGCGGTCTGACGCCAGCTACGGCTGTCTTGAGTTTGCGTTTTCGGTTGAGGACCACAATCGTCCTGTCTAGGTGTAGTCACCCCGGGAGTATCCCAGCCCACCAACAACGATGGATCACTTACCTACCACATCAGCCGCCGTGTGGTAGTACCCTTCTTCATCCCCCTCACCACCTTTCCAACGGTACCTCTGTGGGCACATTGTTAAGATATCGCAGATCTGTTCGCCGCGCATTGCCGCTATCTGCGATTTCAATGGTTACTCCGGCCTCAGACACTTCGATTACGGCAATTAAGCGCCATTGTAATCTGGTATTGCTGTCAATGAAGATGCCAAAAGTCCTCGGTATATTGACACCGTGTTATCCCATCATGGCCCAACCAAAAATAGATTTTCCGCACTACGCTCAATCTTTCCAACTTCATTTGCACCGAATTCGATGCGGATACTCTCAATTCAAATGTCATGTTCGAATTGGTTGAGACGATTCCTACAAGATCGTTTGATTCTGTGCGAGAACGTCTGGCTCGGTCGTTGGTTCTCATCCTAGTTTCTGTTATTGTTTTATGGGTGGAAAATGAGCATCTCCATTGTGCTGGGCACTCTTCACTCTCGCTTACAACTCTATGTAAGCGTGTGTTGTGGTCCACGTAACAAATCGGCCCGATTGCTTTGGAAAGTAGGATCCCTAAGACAGATTGCGCGCTGTTTCCTACGCTGTCTATTTTGAAAACTGCGCATGTTGAAGTCGAACGAAACACGAGATTGTTCAGCAGTCTACTAATTGTAAGGATCTGCAGGATCAATCAGATTTTCCTCCGGTCTATTGTCTGGTCCATGACTCATCTCTTGCCTTCTCACTGAAGGCTATTGGGTGGATGCTGTGATTCCGCATCTCTTTCGCAACCTTA